CCATTTCAGATGTTCAGATATTTGTAAACATTCAAATGAAAGACTATTTTGTATTTCTTGGTGAGGGAAGCCTCTGCTACCTGCTCTCAAGATGCTATTACACTGAGATTAAAAAACAGCTGTCTTTCAGTTTTAAATCAGCCAGATAATGGCAGTATGAAGTGCGCTGTGCTGTAGTCAAGTGACACTTCCCAAAGAATGGGTAATGAAAAGTAAAAAACTGACTGGATTATAGACTCGCTGCTTCCCTATAAAAACCTGGTGATCTCACTGTACTGAATCTTAAAACAACAACAACAAGAGAAAACCCACCCCACTGAATGAGTTGTGCACTGTTATGGGGGGCAGGTGGGAAGGTGCTAAGTTTAAAGCATATTAATCACTGGAGTCAGAATATTTCTTCCAAAAGCGCGATTCACTTTTACTTTGGGTAAAAGCGAAATTTTCCTTAACGACTTGTTACCAGAAACTTAGTCAAACTCTAAGTACTTTCTTAGCTTCTCATTTATCTGAAAGCAGCAAAAAGACCCATTGCAGAAAACAGCAATATGCTGTCGTTTCTTAGGAAAGCATAAGCCTTGAAGTTAAAGAAAACACAGAAGTCAGTAGTTATTTAAGTACTTTGCCCCCTATCTACTATCTGCCTAAATTCCATACAACTGCAGCCACAGTGTTTGACATAAACGAGATGAAAAGGTCTATACTAGCTTAGGTAACAGTGAAGATTAAGCTTGTGTCTTGGGTTTCTCTAGCGTTTATCTCTAAATCAGAAACAGTGGTTTTCTCTGCAGTTCCCTTAGACACTACGAAGACAACTTTCAGGGTCTTGTATACAGAAGTGTATATACTACGTAATACCAGAAGTACGTAAGCTAGCTTTGAGTAGGCTGATTTATCTCCATTGCACATCTCGGTGCAAAGTTTACAGCAGGTTTTAAAATCAGTATAATCACCTTAGCTCAGGTAGCCCAACACGGCACTCCACGGCGCAGCACAGACAAGTTATCAGTTCTGGCTCCAATCTTTCCCCAAAAAGCATTTTTAACATCTTACAAGTTTAAAAATGCAATGAAAGTGCTTAATACACAAAGCATTTGAAAATAAATATGAAGAAGCAAATAGATGTGAGACATTTCTGAAGGCAATACAAGTAAATAACTCCCTACCCAGCATCAAGGCAGCTTACTTTCACAGCTGGTGGCATAATGTAGCAAGTATTACAGCAGCAGCTATACAGTCAATATTAATTTCATTAGTTTTCAGCGAAGAAAATAAGTGTCTACTGAATTCACCAAATATCACTGATAAGCTGCAAAGAAAGCTTTTCAAACTTTTCTAAAATGAAAAGCGCTGTTACAAAAAAAAGTATGAAGTGTTAAATAATTTTAGTTTGTATTTTTCGTTTGTTGAATTTGTTTTTCCTGATCCAGTCATTATAATAATCATAATCTACAATATAGCAGGCTCTATATGACACTTGAGGTTCATTATACAACTGATATCAAATAATAACAAAAAGACCATCACCTCCAGGAAACGCTGAGGATCACACTCATGGACAAGCTTTTCACAATCCTTCAAAAAATTCTCAATGGTCTTCTTGTGAGTTTCCTTCATTTTCTTCCAAATCTGAAATTCTTTCTCTTTTTTACTTCTTTGATTTTCAACATCTTCTAGCAATTGCCGTTTCTTCATTTCCAGGGTTTTGAAAATTTCTCCAAACTCCAGTGCAATTATCTCTGCATCGTTGTTCAGCATCATCTAGAAGCATGAGATCATAAAAACAGATGAAAATGCAGTAGCAACGTCTACATAGAGTCACTTCCCTAAGTAAGCTCAGAGCACATCTATGCCACAAGAAGCACCAGTATGCTCCATGTTGTGATTAACCTATCATGAAGAGAAACCCAGCATCTGTAACTCACGTCCGTATCATTCGGTTGACTTGAGATTTCATTCATCAGCTTCTCATTTATTATTCTCATCTTTTTCAGACTGCTGAAGAAGGTTAACTGCAAGACAATCGAAATACTTATTACGACTTTGTCCACTCCATAATATAAATACATATCAGCGGTTATCTAGAATCACGTCATGGGATGTTCTGTACAACATATTAAACAAAGGTTGTGATTCAAAACATCACTTAATAACATTTAATGCTTTCCTGGATCAGTACACAAACTTTCTTTTGCTATTTCTCTCTCTCAAAGTAAAGTTTTTAGGCTCACCTACAATGCATATTGCTAGAATGGCTACAGTGTTACTTTATAGTTAAAACATTGTTTCCCTCAGCCTTTTTTTTTTTTAAACCTCTCCCCACACACACACATCTATCACAATGTTTTAATGCTGTTATTCCAGTTTGACAAGCAACTGTGTAATATTCACATTTTTTTTTTAATGCCTCACACTAGTAAAATAGAAAGCCGTCCATAAGTAAGTTATTTCTGTTCGGTTTTAAAGTAAGTTTATCACTGTTTTTTCCTCCTTTACCTCAATACATTATCACTAAGTTTTACATAGAAAGTCTAGTGCAAAGACTGTTTTCCCCTGGTTTCCCAAGTGACACGCAATTGGTGATGGGAAAGGCAGGAGGCATCAGTGCAAAAGCAACTTTTGGCTTAAAGAATAGTCAGTGCTGTACTTAAAGTTTTATACCTATACTCTTCATCACTGCCCTGCAGTTGTTTCAATTACTGCACCGTAGTCAAGTGACATGCAGATGACATGCCATCCTGCACCCAATTTGCAGAGGGCATGAAAAGCTCATTCTACCTAAACAGTCGCTATTTTGGCAAAAATCACAACTACTGTCACTACAACCAGCCAACCAACCATTAGGCCAGGCAGTTGCTTTCCTCATGCAAACAGGAGTGCATTTTAGGTTTACATTTATTAAATTCTTACGTACCTAAACCATCTACTTCTAAATATGTAATTATCTATGACCCAAATTACCTACGCCAGCTCAGAAAGCCTATAAAAAAACCCCCACCCACAGATATTTTGTTTGTTAGTAGGACTAGCATCTTCCTGAACTTGGAAAAACTGGATCCAGACATGCAATAAACTCTTAGCATCGGTGTGTTTTTTCAAAGACTGCAAGTCTCTCCATTAAAAAAAAAAAAAAACACAACCAAACCCAAAACAAAAAAAACGACTGCAAGTCTCTCCATTAAAAAAAAAAACAAACACAACCAAACCCAAAACAAAAAAAAACCCAACTCTTGAGGTGCTTTAGTAAGTTTGGTTCAGATCTGTCGATACTGTAACATCGCCCGGTCCCCCATATGTGGCAGACGAAGTCTGACGGCAGCAGGGGAAGGCACGCCCCGGTAGTCCACAAGCAAATCCTGACTCCTGGTTCAAAGCAGCATACTCCCTCGCTGCCTCTCGCCTGCCCACCACGCTGTTTTTCCCTGCCTTTCTGAGTAAAAGCAACACGGGCCCGGTGGGATCCCCCGTGGGACAGCCCGACCTCCCAACCGGACCCCTGGCGCGGAGGGGAAGCGCCGCACTTACTTTTTCCTCCTGGTACACGGTGTCTATGAGGTTGACGGAGTGGAAGATGCCTTGGTGCTCCTCGGAGACGCACTGCCCGCACCCCGCCTGGCGGCACATCCGGCAGTAGAGCTGCACCAGCCGGCTCGGATGCTTCTGGCAGGTTCCCCCGGGGGCCAGCGGGGAGAGGACGCC